GGTTTCCGCCCACACCGGTCGACGCTCGACATGCTGTTCGCGATCCAGCGGCTCCATGAGCTCGCGAGGAAGAAGAGTACTGCGGTCTTCGCGTGCTTCGTCGATCTCACCAAGGCGTACGATTCGGTGGACCGAGATCTGCTGTGGGACGTGCTCGGACGCTTTGGCGTGCCCTCGAAGATGCTGGCGGTCATTCGCCGCTTTCACGAGGGCATGAGGGCGCGCGTCCGAACGGACGACGGGCAGTACTCGGAATGGTTCGACTTGAGCCAAGGCCTCCGACAGGTATGCAACCTGACCCCGCTGCTGTTCAATTTGTTCTTTACCGCGATGCTCATGGCCATCGTGGCCGAGTTCGACAAGGACCCCAAGGTGACGGCGGACATGGTCAAGATCGGGACACAAGTGGAGTACACGGGCAAGAAGGGCAGGTCGGCGGGGAAGAAGACGACGGTGGTGACAGACGCGGAGGCCTTGTGGGCCATGCTCTACGCTGACGACGCGGCCATCGTCTTGCGCTCGCCGGAGAGTGTCGAGAAGATGATGTCGGTCATAGTTCGGACTGATGGTATCGGAGCCAAAAACCCGAGATCATGTGCATGCTGCCGAAAGATCGAGGAACGCCCGTTCACGGTCAGCACCGCCGGCCAGACATACAAGCAGACAGATCGGTTTGTGTACCTCGGACGTACCATCTCCGCGGACGGGAAGGCCGACCGGGAGATCACGAGCCGCAGCTGCCGAGCGTGGAAGTGCTACCGCCGGAACAGTGCTTCGATGTACGACAGGCGACGGGCCAACCGCCAGCTCAAGATCCGGTTACTCCAGGCTAAAGTGGTGGACACTCTCCTGTATGGGTGCGCCTCGTGGAGCCTAACAGCGAAGCACTACACGAAGCTCAATGGGACCCACCGCCAGTTCCTCACACGGTGCATCGGCTGGAGCAAGCGGAAACGCTCAGACCGCCCCCTGTCCTATGCCCAGGCCCTCATCCAGGCAGGCTGCGAGGAAACCATCGAGGCCACCGTGCGCAAACGGAGCCTGTGTTTCGCGGGCTTCGTTATGCGCATGGAGGACAACCGCCTCCCCAAGCGCATGCTGTTAGGAGCGATGGCGGGGGGCGTGGGATACCGGGGCGGGCAGGAGAGCGACTGGGTGTCTCGTCTAGGAGAGGACCTCGTGGCCTTCAACATGGGAGACGAAAAGGAAGGGGGGAAATGGAAAGAGAGCGCCAAGAACTCGGAGGTGTGGTACAACAAGGTCGAGGACGGGGCGGCATGGTTCATGAGGAAATGGCACAGGCAGGAGGCGGAAGCGTCCGCGAAGCGCCAGCGCGCGTGGGAAGCAGAAGCAGAGAGTACGACCATCTCAGGACCGAAG